GGTTTTTAGACAGTTAACACGTTGTCAACTGGCAGTTTTTAGGCAGACTGTAAACTGGCAGTTAATGAGCAGTTTATTGCCCGTCTTTTTTCTCCTGGGTAGGCAGAAACAATACCGAGCTTGGCTCAACTAATTGAAGGTTCAGTTTTTTTAAGAAAAAGTTTTTTCTCTTCACAGAATTGATTCTGTTTGCTTATTATTTTCAACTGATCGTAATAAAATTACATTGTTAACAGTCGCTGGATCCATATTAGAACATCTTTGTGTAAGAATTTTTCCAGCAGCACTAAACTGCTACCCTGTTGCAGCTGAATAACATGTTACTGAAAAATAACGTTTAGCTAATTTAGCTAGATTGGAATAGGTTTGTTAATTTTGTTCTCAGAATGACAGTGGATTAAAATAAGCGTCTTAGTATTTTATGTCGTGCGCTACTTTCATAATTTGATAATTCTTCGTTCAGCATGACTGCCCGTCACAACTGACGCAACAATTAAACGTGATTATTATGTGAATGATGACTGATGTTGAGACATAAGGTGCATAATTATTTTCAAGTTATCTAACCAAAGGTGTACAAATATGATGTTTTTTCTTTTAGAGATCGCTTGGAAAAAATTTCTGTATAGAATAGGACTTTGCAGCGAACGAAATATAGCTTAGGCAGGAAATTTTTTTCTCTCTCTCTCCTGAGGGTCTTACCTTTAAGTGCTTTGTCCATGTGTTGTTATTTATTATTTTTACATGTCCGCGCTGAGAGTGACCTAAAATCTATATAGTCCTAAATGTCATCTACAAGAGTTGATCTAAGCGACATCTTGGAAATCCATGGTTCAAAAGCCACGGACGTTTATCCTGAAGCCTTAGTACTTCTGTGCCGTTAGATTTGCGATTATTAGACATGAGTGAAAACACAGGTTATCCACTATGCTGAATCTCGTGGATTGTTGAATCATTGCATAACATTAAAGCAATAGAAAAAAGTTTTAACAATGAATGACAACAGGCTCTCCTCGAATAATGAAAGATGAACTCTTTAAGACTAGACACAAAGTTCTAACATCATCAATTAATACTGGAAAAGTGTAAAACATTGATGCTGATATCTTTCGATTATTTCTGCTCGCAGATATTTGTTGTAGAAAAATTCTTTTTCAAAAAAAGGCCTATTTAAAATACTAATTCAGCATTTTATTTGCTTTGCTTTAAAGTATTGAAGTTCAAAAAGCAGTAGAATGTAGAAATGACACTAGTTTTTTTCGTAACGCCTTTATGCTTTCTCCCCTCCTCCTATTTTGACGTTTTGTTTTTGCGATTGAAATGAAACGAGAAAATTTCAATATCTCACAGGAAATTATTTAATTTAGATGGAAAATGGAGCGATGCCGATGATGAACTCGGATCAAAGAGACCTGGGGATGATTTGATAAATTTATTATCGAGTAATGGTTTATTCGGAAAACTAGTTGAAAATATTCAAAGTAAGAAATATCTTTTCTTCTTTATTGTTCGTATATGAAATGTTTGGAACCTAGTCTAGGTAACACTATTATTCTTCGAAAATCTGGTCAGGACCACTGTTTTGTGTCGAAAATAGCTTTTTGATAGAGGAAGCTCAAGAATCGCGAACTTCAGGCTGCTTTTTAGAGCCTACACACTTATACCTCATTCAAATCTTTGTACTTATCAAATATTTTTAGTAAAGACATGTGAAAATAGAATTTATGTTCATAATTCTGCCACATATATTTAAATACACGCAAAAAATAACGCTACTGTTGTCTTTTTTCTTTTATTTCTGTTCAACACGCTTTCGATTATTTTACCTACAGAAGTGGAAATGACAGTAAAAAGAAAAAATACAATAACTTTAAGAATATTCTCTACAGTTCTATACATTTAATCCAAAGTCGAAACTTATGAAGAACTTTAATAGAGAGAAACTTTAATCGAAAGTTGAAACACTATAGAGGGCGCTGTTTTTGTGAATATCGTTGTGAAAGAATAGTCGGTTGTAGCTAAATATTCCAGGATTGAAAATACCTTAATCATCATGTACATTATAAATTGGTGGTCCTAAATCAAAACGACTTTGGTAGAATACGAACGAAAAAGAACTAAATCTATTTAATATTTTCAGACATTTAATATGTTTGAAAATACCAAACTTGGTTTTTTTCTGAAGAAAAAACCCTTTTGGTACTGTAAAATACGCACCGACGCCAGAAAGGATGTTAAAAACTCGCATCGAGGCTCGGGAAATAAGACTGTCCGCTTTTAGAGATTATTCTGAGATGAGTTTGACTTTAAAAAAAAGTGTTAAGAGTATATTTGAAAAAGTTGAATTTTTTGAAGGAAAAGCATTAAAAATGTCCTCCTTTCATCCCAAATAGGTACAAAATTCTGCCCCAGCCGAAAATCATATTTTGGCATTGTTTACGAGACGCCTTGTGGACAAATATCGAGAGACATTACTTACGTTACTTTCTCTTCAAATATCAAGCAGTATTTCTGATTGTCCAGCACTATTTCTTTAATTTTAGCGCTATCTCAAACATTTTCAAATTACTTCTAAGTTCATTTCGAACAGGAAATTTTTCAGTCAACCAATAGCCGGACTTCTCGGCTTTTTAGACACAAAAGTGGGAAAATTCTTTTTTTGTCGCTAGTGCTCGGGATGACGCGTACGACAATGTCGCTCGTCTACTGCGGACGGTCCGACGGACATTTCATTTGTATGATCCAAAACTTTCAGTCAAGGGAAAAATGTCAGAAACGATTACTAATTCAAGCAACCAAAATGCCCAAGACATTGGTTAGACATGATAATATTGAGATGTGTTCAATCTATTTTGCAGAATGCATTGATCGTGCTGTTAATATTTATCCAACGCATTATGAATACCGAAAAAATCATTTCATCACGTCTAATTCAATCAAGAATGAGGATATTATCATCTTTTCGGGCGAAACAGCCTATGATAATGAGACAGTCGTCGATTTTGAAACACAATTATTATATTCCCACGTAGCGTTCAATGGTTTTACAGACGCATTTAATGAAAAAATCGAAAAATTAATTAAAAGGAAAGGCGAACGTTTAACTCAGCAGCGACAAAAGAGATCAAATAATGATTTTACTTCAAAGTTTGTCATTTGCCTTTTTATTCTGTCCCTTTCTCTCCTATCCTTCTAGAAAATTCGATATCAGGAACCTTCGAAAGAAAAATGTAATTAACATTTCGTCGCAGTATCTGTATCTAATACCACTAAATATATTTAATGAGATTCTATAGACCAAAGTATTCTTTCGTAGTCAATTGTTTCCACGCTGAATAAAATCCATGTTGATTTATTATCTCTTTTACCTATAACTCTTTTTTATGTTACATATGTAGAACACATTGTTCTTGTAGTTCCCAAGTGAATTCGCAAGCAATACAGTTGAAAACAAATTCAAGATGCAAGCAAATGGATGAGAAGTCATTACAAATTAATTGGCTAATTTACAATTTGATGCGATTTGTTTTCATGTTAAGAGATAGTGATAACTTCGAAATTCCAAATTCATTACGTGCAAAGTATATCAAGGACGTTTTACAGGCAAGAAAGAGAATAGTATTTTGTTTCACTGCAGTTCTTCTTATTTCAATATGTTATTCATTTTCTATTTATTATCCTTCGTCTATGTTTTAATAGGTGATAGAACATTATGCGAATATCATCAACCGCAAATGAGAACCACAAGTGCTCAACCCGTATACAAGCAAGTCAATCAGTTTACCAAGGAAAATTTAAAATTGGCGAAAGAAGCGCAAGAAGAGGAATATCAAGTCGCAGCAGAAGAAGAAACGTGTAATGTATACCACGACGATATTATTGATGAAAGAAAACTTTCAAGTTATGGTTTTCTGGCTACATTTTTAAACTGTTCGGTGATTGTTGGGTTTGATGAATGTCCACGTAGTGAAGGCATGCCAAGAGCTGTACGACACTTATTGAGAATATTAAAATATGGCGATTTACTACCAGCAATGTTATATGGTTGCGCCTGTACGCTCAAATTGTTTATCGACAAGTGGTACAAGACAAACCATTTAAAGAAATCAAGTCGAACCAAGTTTTTGCATACAATGCATTTAGCTATTGATCGTTTCCAACAGTCAAATCATTTGCGCCAGATGTGTCAGAAAGAAATGTCTGTTGATCATGATTCACACAAAGGAATTAACGATCAAGTCGATTCACAAGTAGCAGAGCGGATGTTTTCTTATTTCACAAATTTCAAGCATGCTTTTCGAGTATACAGTTATCCAAAATCATTTACATTTTTCTTAATATTATTTCTTTTGAAAAACTACAGTATAACAAAAATACAAGCAGATCAAGAATTAATCGGATTACAGGTCATACCGCCAGATATAGTAACAAATATAAATCAAGCATTTAAGCATGCTTTCTTTTCAAGTCCACTTACAGGTGAATGGTCGAAAAAAACAGGCACAACTCAAACCGTTTCAACAACATTATCAAGAGTGAGCGATACGCAAGAAAAATCTACA